ATGCATTTAAAATTTGCGTGTTTGCAGTGCTGTGCCTGGTCCGCTGCGAATCCAGCCAAAGGCATAGAATTACCCTCTCTGCTACCTCGGGCATGCCCCCATGACAACATGGCAGGGCCTTGTCAATACCACGACTGCCGTATGTGGAAACGTGCATTAAGAGAGCAAGGAATGCACATTTCAGGTACTATTAATAGTGTTACAAATAATCTATATAGATCTGACTATTGCTTTAGTGAAGGTTTACCTCTTATTTCCATATCTTCTCCTTTAACATGCCTAATGTTAGACATACTAGGCAGCACTCTAGACAGCATTATTAATAAATATTCAGTATTTATGTTACGGATTCTGAAACTCTAGTGAAGTGACTATTGTATCACTGCTTCATACTCAGAAAGAAAACCCTTCTAGGCTTCACTAGGTTTGGGTCTAAGCTTTTTTTTATATATTAAGGATTTTGGTTTTACTGTAACATATAAATGCTCTTCTTCCCCCCAGCTGTAAGTTGAGAGAAAGCAGACGTTTTTCCAGTGCAGGTAGATTACAGATGAAGCAGGTTTTCGATGCCCTTGCCTCACGGACATTTTTTTTGGAAGCGGGAGCTCTCAGTCCCCCACTTCACCTTTCCTCTGGGGCCTGGCCCTCTGCAGCCATAGGTCAGCAGCCTTCAGAGTCCCAGAGGAACCGGTTACCTGGCGTAGGTGGCCCAGGGGCTGTCAGAGCCAGCCCCCCCGCCGTCTGTCTCTGGTGATGGGCAGGCTTCAGCGAGGTTTCTCTTCCAGAAGCAAAACCAAAGAGGTGCTGTTGTGAAATGACCAGCCCAGACCGACATCTCTCCAGCGGGTGAAGCGGTGAGCAGCTTTGAATTTTGTAAAGCACTGGGGTACACGTAGCCATTTCATGTAGATATGAGCACTACCAAATGATAAGGTGTAATTACACATTTTAATTAACTGGGTTAGGCCTGCCACCAGTTTCTAAGCAGTCCCTCCCAGGAGACGAGGGAGAGTCCTGCTTAAACAGATGGTCCAGCCCCCTCCTGTACGGGATCAGTCTGAAGAGATTGCAGGCTGAGCCCCATCCCAAATGGCTTTAGGAAGGAGCAGTTGGGTCTCTTCTTTCCCCACAACTGTGTCTGACACAACATTCCATGTAAAGAGGAAATTTGTAATTTTATAAATGTATTTTTATACTGCTTTTTTTTAACGTGTGCACATGAAATAGGCAAATATAGTCCTCCTCCCACTGTATCAAGCCTTTCCCTGTGTGCTGACATAACGGCTATGATCACATTTATGCTGTTTCTCTTACAAGTGTAGCCTCACTGTAAGGTAACCATTGTTGGTTTTACTCCTACCACAGCTGTAGCTCCAACTGGAAGCAATGTCACACAGTCAAGCAGATGTGTTTCTTTCTAGCTGTACTAATAAAAATTTACAATCATTTTCCAAGTAAATTCTCCGTTGAAAATGTGTTTTAATCTTTAGAGAGAGAGACTCAACAACAACATGGAGGCGTGATGCTGTAACTTCAGCAATAATGCCTAAGAATAGCCTTAAAAAGGTATTTGCATCCCCTTACCTAGCTTTTTTAAGCAGGTCCAACAGCCCTGTGTAGTCCTACAACACTTGTGGAGGTTCTAGCACTACTCCCACTGTACAACTGTTAGTTTGTTCTGCATGGATGCTTCCAATACAGAATACTACCAAGAATACCGCTGCTAACAACTACTCTGGACTGAAAAAAATCTCAAAAACTAAAGCTGCAATCAAATTTCTCCGAACACATTCTGTTCTATGGCTTTCCTCAGGAATACAATTAGTTTGGAATAACCAACTCCTTTTAACTGGTAGGCAGCATTTCAACAACATGTACATGTGCTGAACTCAAAATACTAAACACACAGAAACTTAAAATAGTTAAAAGCTGCCTTTTCACTGCAGGCAACGGTAAAGTATCCAGGACCACGAGGGGAAGAGTAACATAACCAGAATAAAACAGGAACAAATAATACAAAAACCATACTGAAATTCAGCTATGAGAACGTTCTTAACACAGCAACCAATCTTTGACCCCAGCAACGGACTGTGATTTCTTGTTTCGGTTCACGCCCTCCATTTCCATCTTACCAACTTAGCCCGACGTGCCCAGGTACTGGCTGTAACGAGTAGCCATAATGAATGCAAAGGAATAGCATATTTTATAGGACTCTGTAGGATGCTGGATCTCTGAAGAGAAAGCAAGAGCCAGGACCAACACAGCCACCTTCAGACCTTGTCCATTAGCCTCCGCAGAGGGCAAGGGCTGGCAGGAGGGGTGGGTACCCTACACTGCCTTAGCTGGTCCTCTGCCTTCTGCTGTGCCCCAGGTACAGACCACAGCTTGCTGTGCTGCAAAGGCATTCACTCAATAAAGGATGTGGCTGACTGACACCTGCAAATGTTTAGCACAGGTGTGTCTGCCGTGAAAAAAATAATTTAAATAAAACTTATTTTTCTCTCAAAATCAAATATTGCACATCAAAAAGTGAGCTCAAGCTGCTCCAGGTATAGCTGCAAAACTTGGGGAGTTGAAGGTGGTTGTTTTGGTTTGTTTTAAATTGACAATCAAAAGTGTCAATGCTGTGCTTTCCCTCATGACATCTGGAAGGCACCTGTGAGATGATCTTAAAAGGCTTCTTTTCAAAATGGAAAAGTCAGGTCACGCTGTGCCTAAGCGCAGAAGCAAGCAGGGGATCGTGACGTCTCCAGTGCTAAAAAAAAAATAAAGGAAACATTCCACTGTTGAGAAGCAAAGGGAGAGCGATTTGCTTGCACCCTTCATTTGGCACCACTTTAGATATGGCCAATTAACATTTTGAAACTTTTATTAAAGACTCACTGCCCTCATCTCCCCTTCAGTGAAAAACAGCAAGTGATCACAGCAGACAGCCCTTAGAGATTTCTGCTGCTTGTTCACAAAAACAAAACAAAAAAAAAAGGAAATAAAGATCATGTTTTACACAATGGATAAAATTACCACTTGCTTAGACTGCTTGTCAATGTCCTCTAAAAGAACACAACCTATAGTGGACAATTCTAAGCAACACGTACCATCAGTGAAACAACACACTAAGGAAAAAAATAAAACGCACATGTGTGTTATTCCCTACCGCTTCAAGTGGTACAAAAGCACGCACTTACAATCTCAGCACAGAGGAACTTTTAGAAGGACCTAAAGTTCCAAGTCAACCCACAAGGCCTGGCACCTTTGAGACTGAGGTGAAATCAACCTTCATCCAACTTAAAGAGTCTACCTGAAAGCCTCACCGCATTAAGCAGTGAGCAGCGGGGTGGCTAGGCTTGCAAAAAGCCCCAGAACAGCAAATTACGTGTCCCAGAGGCATCGTGCAGCTGCCCCAGGTCTAACAGGTGACTGCCACTCATGTTTCGTCACGGAGCTTGTTGTGACGCCACGGCTTACAGTCACGGAGGATTTTGGAATACCTAGCTCGGAATGCTTACAGCTTTTGTACGATACACACGTGAACTCCTGAGACTGAATGATCAGCTGCCTGCCAACTCCACCGGTAGGTCTCTGCTCCTGCGGCAGAGGCACCAAGAGGGCAGGTCACAGGCCCGTGTTGTCCCCCAAGCACCTTTTTACAGTGGCAGGAAGGGGAGAGTTGAGCCCTGGACTCCCTCAGGTGACCACAAGTCCCAGAGCTCCTCCACAAGAGCTCAATGTACCTCAGTGACAAGAGTCACAGACTTGTAGAACCACAGAACAGCATAATCTGTTCTCTGTGGCCACAGGTGAAGCGAGGCCATAGATTTAAGGTGCAGAAGAAACATTCAGGTGAGACAATAGAAACAAAACCAATGTTTAACTTTGAGGGCAGGAAAGCCCTGGCCTGGCCTGCTTCTCTGGAGCTCCTTATGCCAGGAGAACATCTGCCAGGTATGGTAAGGGTAGAGCCGAGCCTGCCTTGGGGCTGTGGAGCAGAGCAGATGACTTAGCACTGAGTCCCATCAAGTCTGTTCCCCTGCATAACCTGCCAGCCGTTTTCCATCTTCTTCCCAGACACCTCACGGTTCCCATGGCTTGGAGGGAAAGCTGAGATGCCTCCCTCAGGACACCTCGAGTCCACTCCTGGCAAGGTGCCCCCCACAGCACGAAGGATGCTACAGACAAACATCTGAAAATTGTAACTGCAAACCAACATGCTCGACATGATCTCTTAGAAGTTGCATGTCTGCCATCACTTCAAGGGTCCCCACTAACCTTACGTTAGAACTTAACAAAAATATTTTGTCATATGTCAAACCAAATAAATAAAAAAAAATACTCGCAGAAATGGCTGTCATCACTGGCTCTTTCCACTGTTTTTCTTCTACAGGCTAGACAAAAAGGATATTTTTCTCCTCACTAACACTAGGGATGGAGTCAACCCTAATTACATTCTACCTTTTGAAAACAGAACCATTTTAAACTTTTGGTAACATGTGGTGACCCGCATTTGACTGAACTTAGCGTGCCCTCAATATCTGCCCTGCATAACAGCAGCTGCCTCGGACCTCACAGCGTTTGTTTAAATTCTTTCAGAGATCTTAAAAGATGTGGAATATGTAATGTTGATCATTGACATGAAAAGCTCATGGTTCAATTAAAAAGCAGAGCCCTTGCTCCAAACGCGGTGCCTAAAAATAAACACACAAATCTTGGCAATTTGAAAGCAGAAAGTTTGAGAAAGAAACAGGACCAAAAAATGGGCTCAATGCTAATAATTCATTAGCAGCTAGTTTGAGGAAACTGTTTATTTCAACAGGTGCTAGCAGATACAAACATTTTCCTAAGTTCCTCCATAAATTGGCCATGTAACTTCGGGGGGGGTGGTGCAGGGAGTAAAAAGGAGGGAATATTTTAGACAGTCTGGAATCCAGAAGTAGCCACATGCACGTCAGCCAGCTTTTGTGCAGGGTGCAGAGCAGTGGGAACTGGCAGAGGACATCTCCAAGACAGATAAGTGACAGAGCTCAAATTTGGGGCATGCAATGGTTTATACATTCTTTTGAGCAGCCTTTAGAGATACTGAAGATGTTTATTATAAAAGTCTGGAGGAATGTAAAAACACCTGAGTGTGAAGAAGAGTAATGTCATCAGCTAGAAGCTGCTATTTGTAAGAGGAGAGCTGAAGACGGACCAGAGCTACCCACTGCCACTGGCAGGCACTTCTGCAGTGCAAGCATGAGGTAGAGTTTAGAGAAAAGTCAGGCAGCCACCATCCGAGTTGGGTGAGGAAGAAAAGAAGCCCAGTCAGTGGTGCATGATGTGAGATGGCACGTGGAGACAAGAAGGAGGGATGTAGCAGGAGGATGAACTATCATGGAGAACAAAAGGCTGCACTGGGATTTGCTCTTTTTGTGGAAGAGGAAGGTGAGGGAGACACGTGACATGTATGTCTGATCTGAGCTGCCACTGTGATGGTTAAAATTGTGTTTGGCCAGCACCGAGACGGCCCGTGCAATAACCAGTAAACAAACTCAACCACAATGGTTAAAACAATTACCATATACACGTACTGAAGGAGTCCTGCAACAAGCCAACCAGCAACACGACATCCCAGCCCTTCTGCTTACTTCATATTTCAGCAAGTGGTGAATCCCAGAGAACGCTAGGATTTTAGGACAGCGGTGCAAGGGAGCAGGTTGGCTTACCTGAACTGGATCCTGCAAATCCGTATTCATGCAACGTCCTGCCCGTAACACCACAAGGTATTACGCAACGTCGCATACAAGAAGTAAGCAGTATGCAAAGTCTACTGTGTGAAAAAATATAAAAATACAACCCAGCCATTTATACCTTGAATGTCTTAATAAATTATTAAAAAGCTTTATAAACAAAAAAGCTTTTAAGGAAACATGTGCATTGTCTACCTTGGCTGAAGAAAACAAAACCACAACATGGCATAAATCAGCAGTTATTACTTTTGGGGTTTAAACAGTTAGCATTCCAACTTCACAAAATACATTAAGGCATCTTCTTCACACAAAGCAGAATCTGAACCTGCTTTGTGTGCTAGAGAAGCAGCGCTGCTGCCCTCTTCAGAAGCACACACGGGGACTTTGGCACACGAGTTACCACTGTCAAATGTGTCTGAATTAGCTCCCTTTGATGACTTCAGAAATACGGCCTTTTCAGAGTTCAAGTCATTTGTATTCCCAGGCTCGTCCCGAATGTCTGGTAAGAAAGAGGTGTCCTCTACTAACCCTTCTCTTGAACAGGCCTGAAAAGGCATTTTAGATGCTGGTAAAACACTGGCAGTGCTTTCCTCTGATACAGCACCTGTGGCTGAGCTGGAAGACCCAGAAGTCGCCTGGAACTCCACTCTACAGTTTACAAAGCAGTCATCTTTCCATCTCTTAATTGCTTCCCTCTGCTCCTCGGGGGTCAGTCTGTCAAGACGCTTGGCTCTCAACACTGGAGATGGAAACAATGTTCCTTGGAGAACCCTCAGCAGATACCTACAAAATAAACACAGTTTCAAATAAGCTGTTTAGAAGCAGACTCAAAACTGTTTCCAGTAACACCAAAGGAAACGAAACACCATTCAAGCAGCCCTGAGGCTGCTGCAGCCTCTGAAACAGTTTTTGCAGGTGCCATTCTGTGAAAATAAACTCTAAGGCCAGCAACTGCACCAGAAAATGTTTTAAAACTGGTGTTTTCAAAACACAGACACTGATCTCGGGTGCTACCATTTTTCTGTCCTGAACACGGTTCTCCTACAGACTAGTTACTGCAGCAATGTGCACTTGCAACTTCAGGGAAGGGCTGGGGTCCCAGCTACACTGAAACTGGAGCTTTCTGTGTATAGTGTCAGGACGTAGAAAAAAGGCATCAAAATCGGTGCAGTTTAGAGTTTCCCTGGCACTTCAGTGTAGATTTAAGGAGTTAAGAGCTATTGTGGAGAAAATCAGGCCTAGAAAAATTCATGCTTCCAGCTGAGAAGCTGTTTATCACTGCTGTTTTGCACTGATAATATAGCACTAACATAGCCCTAGAAAGCTCAGAAGAGTAGACAAGGCATCGTTCTAAAACTCCAAACTTTTGCAGGAGCCAGAGAATTCAGCAGAAGCAAGAATGAACATGAAAGCAAAGGCCAAAGAAACAAAGCATCACATGCAGTGAGACGAATATGGAGTACAAGCGATGTTCCAGAATTAAGCTCTAGTAACAATTCATATTCATATTACAACTGACTTGACTGGCAACTTTGGTTGCGCAAATGTTTTAATCATAGATTTCTGCAGTTAATTTTCAGTCAACAGCGCATCCAGCATCCTTCAAAGCCCCAGTGAAAGCCCCAATCTCAGTCCCTCAGGTGAGAAGGTGTAGAGCACCCTTTGGCTTCACAGTCCCTGCCAAGTGGTGGCTCTTCAGCACCTTACAAAGGATTACATCAGAAATAAGCAAGGCAAAAACCATATGTGTGACAGCAGTGGTTCCGCAATAGGCACTTCTACTTCAAATCACTGAAGTAGAAAAGCTTGGATTAGCCACAACAGCTATGAATCTTCTGAAGTACTGGCACAGGGAGAGTGCAAATGACTCAAAGAATTTCACTGGTAAGTCTAAATACTTTGCATTTAATTCACCACAAAACCCACTGTTTTCTTCAAAATTGAACACCTGTACACTGGAAGCAGTCACCAAGCTGAAAACTTTCTCCTACTTAGGCTCTCTACAGCCCTACCAAAAGGTCCCAGAAAAGCATTTATCTCTTTATTTGCTGTGTAAGGGAGATTTACCGTGTGTGGAAGAAAAGGCTCTATTGTCACCACCTGAAGCCAGGCTGAGAGCAGGGATGGGGAGGGAAGAGCACACATGTTTCTTGCACCTCACGGTTTGTCCCTCTCCTGCACTGAAGTGTGCACCAAAGCTATCAGTCATGATCTCTGGGGAGTGTGGCAAAACCCTGGCTGGCGCGCGTAAGACACAGGCGGGAATTTCTTCAAAGGGGACTCGGGTACTTGGTGGCTATTGCAGGCTCCTACAGCCATGGCTCTGCCAGCCTTCCCGCAGGCGGCACTGACAGCCCACGCAGCCTGTACTGCAGCACTTCATCCAGAAAGTGTGCCCAGACTGTGCCCAACGATATAAAATGACATCAGGTGAGGAGGAAGTGGCAGTTACTCTCCCCAACACTTTGCTACCAAAGAATGAATAAACTGGTCCTGGAGGCACTTTGCTAATAGGCTGCAGACTCGAGTTCATGTTCAGCCAGTGACAGGAGGATGGCTGTAGCCACTAAATAGAACTAGACCCACAGTTTGATGAAGTCTCTCTTTCACTGGTTTTCACACACTTTGTTTTTCCCCTGTTGGCTCGCTCAGGTGTCTCCCTGCTCAGCGTGCTGGTATCTGGGACCTCCACCCAATGCTTCTGCCTTTCCAGGGTGAATGAGTTCTCAAACTTGGAGTTATGACTTCTTCAGTGAGGCAAAACACTTAATGAAACATTAGGCACGACAAAAACACAGCTCAGGACCCCCTGTGAATCTAGTCAGCATGTTTCCTCCCCACAAAAAAGCCGGTACATGCACTCTTCATTCTAAATATTCTTATATATATTCATGTCAAAAATTTCAAATAGAAAATGGTTTCACAAATAAACACAGACTAAGCACAGTACTTCTACGTATTGTGCGTGTTCAACTTTGATCTCTTATTTAATGGTTTTGTTTATAAATACTGTGGTTACAGAGATTACTGTTTTTTTCCCTCCAAAGGCAATATTTAATATAATTTAAATAATTTAACATAATATAAATCACAAAAGACTTTTTTTACTTACTGAAATGTAATTCGAGAACACATCACTGAAGAGCTGTCCTCACATGGCTTGGTCTGGTACAGTTATGAAGTTTTCTTTACAATGGGGGAAAGGGGTGAGGGGGGAAGAAGACCGCTAGCCAAAGAGATTTATAGCATCACTGACTGAAAGAAAACTAATTTTGTTAACAACAGCAATTTGCAATTATAGAACAGAAACGCACCTGGGTAGCAGAGCAACACAAGTAGTCAGGAGGCAAACTAAATAAAATACTGGGTCTGTCATGTGCTTTTCCATGATCCAGTAAGGATTTGATGGTGGGTTGTGGGTTTTGCAGGTGGCCCCAAAAACCAGAGCGAAGACAAAGTATAACAGGATGCTGCCAACTATAACTACTGTATGTATCCATGTCTGCAATTCAGAACAGGAAAGAAATGAGATTTAAGCTGTAAGCAGAAAGACCTGTAACACCTGTATGTGTGTCCACAGGCGTGCGTGAACACGCACACAATCCTCCTACAAGGACAGATGCGTAATGTAACAGAGGACAGATCTGTTCAGGTAATATTCCTAATTTTATACAAAACATTCCAGGAAGAACGGAGCCTTCTTCCGACAGTTCACAGGTAACCCAGCCATTTAATTTTTTTTATTCTACTAAATGCATAGCTTTTGATTCTTTTGTGAAAGACATTTTTGTGCCATTTGCCTTAGATGGGCACCTCATCCACTGGCAGCAGAGAAAGCCTTCTCAAGCAAATGCAGGCAAGATCTTCACATGACACCACCCTTAAATATCTTGTGTGAGACATCGATTAACTGTGCTACATTGGAGTTTTCTGTAATTTTATACCTAAATGGCTAAAACAGTTACTATGGAAACAACACTGTCATTGGTCTGACAGCTTGCCGACATACAAAAATGCCAAAACCCCATTTAAGTGATGTTTTCCTATTGAGAGCGTGGATACACTCATGACACTCATATATTCTCAATAAAGACATTTTTATCACTGCTGTCATGCTCCCAAAAGAACACTGACAAGACTGAATCACAACTTGAAATTTCATTCATTGTGAAACAACCCTAAAAAGTATTTTTTAAAAAAAGAGAAAAAATAAACCCCATTAATCTATGTCCTTCTACTGTAAATATTATTATATTTCATGTAAAATGATGCAAAATAGCCAAGTATTACCCTTGTAAGGGCTGTAAATTTACCCGAGCTAATGCAGATGCTTTAGCTTGCACAGACTTAGTTAAAAACTGGAATAGCATTTCTGTAGCATGTTGGTTCTCCAGTTCTGGCACCAAAACATACCTCTGAATGGTTTATCCTGGCCACAGAGCCTATCACACTTCCAAGCATTCAAAATCAACCGTTCACATTGCTGTCTCTGTGGTGCAAGCTTTGGGAACTAATGAAGGCTCAGTAGATCACTGGGTGGTTTTACCCTTTGCAAAACTAAACTGACACCCCCAAGACCACTGTACTGTAACGAGGCAGGATCCTTTCACTATTTACAAATAATTCTGAAGCCAATTTTTGTTAATATTACTCATACGAGTAATTCTATTGGCTCCAACGACAGGTGCATTAGGAGAGCTCACATGGTCACGTAAACAAAATATTTAGGTTTTGGCCCTTTTATACTGTTTTGTATGTTAAGCTCTTTCTTCTGTTTAATTTTAATGCAAGCTGCATATACACTCTGCTAGGAAAATACTCTTTTGGAAACAAAGTACTCACCACAGACTTGCACTCAATGAGAAGGTGAAACAGTATTATGAAGAGCGCTGCTGTGTTTATGGGGTTTCCGAAAGAAAAAACATCTATGTCTGAGCCATAGTAAGTCTGTAAAGGAAGGCAGCGGTCAGCGTAATACATTCTTCATGTACAGTCCGAATACACAAAGTGGCATGAATAGCTTCAATACCATACATATTTGCATGCACACAGTTCAGCTCAGTTCCAGTGATGAACCTGTTGGTGCACGTTTATATATGAGGAAGTAAAATCAAACCCTTCATTTTACTCTCTAATTTCCCTGGGTTTTTAGTATGTCAAAATCTATAAGTGTATTTCATACCCAGCACTTACAAAGTAAGGCACAAAAAAGCAAACGAGACTTTGGTAAAATGCATCCAGCAAGGTTATCCAGAAAGTTGAAGGCAAGTAAGCCTGTAAGAAAAAGAGATAATGGCATTGAAACAAATTGAACAAATTGCTGCATCCTTAATTGGCATTAATTTGAATTTGGTGAAAGATAATCTGCAGAAGTAATTCCAGTTAGTTTCCCAATGAAGAGGCATCTTTTATGTTATGATAATAGTAACAAAGAGCTCACTCCACACATGTAGCTAACTGTTAGCACTTAAATCAGCAGCCAGATCTGGGAACTCGAATCTTACAGCTGTTTCTGCCAGAACAGACCTACCAGAGCCTTACCTAAGTGTCTGCTAAGGAAGGGAGAGGGCTAGAGGACAGTGAATTACCCTAGCAGCTTACCATCGCTGAATGCCAAGTCCCACTTCCTTCTATCACCACTCCCTTCTTTTTGGTATATCTGCTTTTGCCTCTTAATTTGTGCTGGTTGACTCCTCTGCGCGGACTGGACTGCGCTGTGAGCTAAGTTAACTCACCAGAGTGTGAGAAATCAATTAACTTTTCTGCTGGAATAACACATTGCTGGTTTAGTGAGTTAAATCAGGTCCTGGAAGGATCTGATGGGACAAACAAGCTGGCACAAGGGAGGTTAACTATGTGGGTGGAAACAGGTAATGGGAAGAAAAGAAGGGAGAAGAGGAGAAGGAATGAGCTTTCCTCACTCAATGGCAGCAAACTGCCATGACAGCTCAACCGCTTATGAAACCATAGCTGCATGTGCCCTGGCTCAGATATAGCCCATTCCTTTCGGGCACTAAATTGAGCCACACAGGTGAGCAGCCTAGTCACCCACGACTTCCTCTACCATTAGCGGAGAGAGATGGGTTTCTCTAAAAAGTAATTCAGTGCCTTCAGGAACTGAACTGCTCTCTGGAGGTGGTGTGGGAAACTTATCTTCTTATTTGCCTGTCAGGGAAGTGCTTTAAACTACTGAAGGTAAATCCAAGTTACTGTCCATTTTCATAGCTTGTACAGAGCTGTGCACTTATGAAGTCATTGTGCAATATTGTGATTCTACATCTTTTAAAGCATTCCTCTTCCTTCTGCACTGCACTTAATGCAAAGTGATTATTTCACTGTGCTTCCATGCAAAAAAGGAAATTACATACTACTTAACAAGTCCAACCACAGAGCAAGGCAACGCTGTGCTGGACAAATAGAATAGAATAGACTGTTTCAGTCGGCAGGGACCTACAATGATCATCTCTTCCAAGTGCCTGACCACTTCAGGGCTGACCGAAAGTTAAAGCCTATTATTAAAGGCATTGTCCAAATGCCTGTTAAACAGCAACAGGCTTGGGACATTGACCACTTCTGCAGGAAGCCTGTTCAGTGTTTGACCACTCTCTTAGGAATTCTTCTTAATGTCAAATCTGTTACTGAAAGGCTACAATCATAAAGAAAATGGTGAGTTTTAGGTGAATCATATGCTCAATGTTTCCTCTCTCTGGGCTACTAGTATCTGTAACTAGTAACTGTTTCGGGCTCAGTATGTAACTGTATTCAATTGTTATAATAAAAATATTATTTTCATTAAGTGTTAGAGTAAAAAAAAAAAATTATGAAGTTAAAATTATACTAGAATTCATGCTCAGCAAAGCAGAAACCAGGAAAAAGCTTACTCAAAATTGTATAAATCAGTAAGAAACTACCCCCTGCTCCCTGTGCTTATCCTTGCTAAATGTTTGGACAGAATTTACTTATAGAGTAGATAGGACATACAGTGTTTTCAGATGGGAGAAAACTTCCACCAGCAAATTCCAGAACATACTCACAAGGGGAAAAGAACCCTAAATGACAGAACTTTCTTGAGGATTACTTAAAAGGAATCTGCTCTGGTTCTTACCCATTCCTCACTACTTTGGTGGTTGAGACCCTTATATGACAGTAAAAAAACAGTATCTAGTGCCCTTATCTTTACAAGTAAGCCTAGATGCTCAAAAGAAACCAATTCTGGGGAAGCATATTGACAGCTGAGGCAGTGAATGAAATGAACATTCTGGTAACGTTTATCTCATACATTACTTCATCTGAAGTCCTTAATTTCTCTTACCATCCAAATGTCTGATAAGATCGGGTGTATGGCTGAAAAGAACCTACAAAAAACTTCTGAAAAAACAGCTTTTATTTGTGCACATATGTTTGTGCACAGGCCTAGATGTTTTTCTAATAGAGAACGTGGTTTTAAACTTCATGGTTGCCTGGTGTGAACCGGGACGGAAAGACAGACAGAAATGGCTCAGATGCTGACAATTCCGATTTGCTTCAGGCCAAGCATTCTTTAACCTACCACAGATTTCTGGCTCATCATGTACAGCTGTGGAAGCTGCAAGAGTATCTCCGCAGACACATCTTTGTCCAAGACACCATAAATGATGGGTGGCACTGATGTAAAAAGGAGATTGAAAAGAATCAAGATCCAATAGTCAGTCATTGATGTGCCTGAAAACCCACAAAAGAACTGGTACCAGAACAGGAGGTTCACGTAGGCCTGAAAAGTCAAAGATGACATGATAAAATGTTACCCGTAGACAACTGTTTTAAAAGCCAGGAGGAAAACAGGCAGATCTTAAGTTTAATTACAGTAATCTGTGGAAAATTAAGTATAAATGCTGTGGAGTTCATGCCAATCCCACACTTTGAAATTATATTTGACTAGCACACAGCTTTAAATTTCAAAATTGGACATGACTTGTTTAAGTAGTCATGCTGCCACCACATTAGTAACGCCCGTTAGCCACTGTTTAATCAAATCAGACAATGGCTTTGAGTAGGAAATTCAGTCCAAGGAATAAGAGTCTCTGGTGTCTGCAGACGTACATGGGAAAACGAACTGTCTGACATATGCTTTTTGTGTCTTTCTGAACCCATTCACACTAGCAACTAAAAAAGAATATAAAGCCCCATTAAGCCCTTCACTGCTCTCAATAGGCAAACTGTGATTTCCCTGGGGTGGGACAGCTACATACCACGTTCTTGTAGAAGAAGTAAAGCACCATGTTGGTAAGTCTGGTATAACACCAGTGACCATGCACAAGCAGCAGCTTTTTGAGGTGTCTAAACTGAGAGACTGCAAAGTCACTTGCCATCACAGCCTGCAATGCACATGAAGGAAAGCATATGTTATATCCAAACCATTAAAGATAACCTTCAGATACTGCCAAGTGAGCAACTTACCTACTGTTGGAAATTCTTATTTTATGATTTTTTTATACATAGTGCTTATGGTCTTACCCTCACTCAGATCTGAGCCCCTCCGTACAACATTTTACACTAACGCACACAGCTCAGCCCAGCACAACATAGGCAGGAACGTGGCTGTCTCTATTATTACCACACAATTGCACAGAAATCACTGATGCTTAGGCTGCCTCTTTCCTGGCAGGATAGGAATGATAGGGAGTTCAGTGGCAGGCAACAAGCTCTGTTGTTTGCCTGGCTGTGAGCTCAGGCTGCAAACTCTTGCCTGTGTACAGTAATGTACTGTGGAGCCACTGGGCCTCCAGGATAAACTCTGAGCTGATTTAAAATGAATCTGATGTCATTTGCAGCTGTCTTTGTATACACTACCTGCATGCCTTCTTGGCCCAATATTCCCACACCAGTGTCAGCCACCTGGATCATACTGACATCATTGGCACCATCGCCTACAGAGAAAAGGAAAGAGGAAAAATGAAAACTAACCTCTCTTACTTGGAATGCAACCTGGAGGCAGCTTTGCTGGCTATCACGTCACCACGGAGGTGGCAGGAAAACAAAGAGGAACACCAGAGAGTTCAGAGAAAAACATTTTTATGGCCAACAGTGCAGCCTATGGAAAACCCCATAGAAAGAAGGACTGGTAAGCGGAAGGCCTGACTGAACTGAGCTGTGTTCCCCAAATGGATATTAGCTGTTCCTTTTGTCGGAGTTTAGTTGGCATGCTGGAACAGAAAATATGGATGTTTTAAATCACAGCCAGTCATCTCCCCTTTTTTCCCTTCCTATTTTGGGGGGTTATGATGGAGAATGACAAGGAAAATCCCCTTATTTGGTCCTTTGGACATGCTACATAACACTGTGCACAACTGCTGCTGTTCTTGTTGCTTTAGATTTCCATGAGTAAGTTTATGGACTAAATTTGCTAGTTCAGAAGACTAACATCATCTTATGCCAGAGACAACTACAATTCAACGGATTATCTTCCTTGTAAAGTACATCTTGTGACAGACATCAACAAAAACACAGGAGAGAAGAAACTGGCTTCCAATTCTTTTTGGAGAAAAGGCGATAACCACATGACTGACCTACAGCTAATGTCATCGCCTTTAGCTTATTTCGCACCAGTCTGACCAGGACACTCTTCTGCAGTGGTGTGGCTTGGCAGCAGACTACAGCCCGACATTTTTCTGTGAGTTCCAAGAAAATATTCTGCAGACTATCATCAAGGACATGCTCTAAAGTTCTTCCATCAATAACCAGGCCTGCACTGAGCCCTGCAGCTTGGGTGGAGCAACTTGTAGAGACATTCCCAAGTTTCTGATTGGGGGTTTTTTTGGCAGAAGTATTCTTCTGGATGTCTTCTAAAATTTTGCTCATCACCAAGGAACAGGCATCCTAAAGACAAGAGAAAGGCAAATTATTAAATACTGTTTGTGTTCTGGTTCCCTTTTCAATTTATAAAATACATATGGAGAAAAGGTCAAATGCTGCCCTTGTGCAGCATTTCACTTGAATCCAGAAAGGCTCAGACATGAGGCTGAATAACCCTTTAAAATCACAAAGGATGCAATCTGTAGTTAATAAAAAGGCCTGTGATTTAACTTTGCTTAAGTAGATTGGCTTGGGTATTGTACTAGGAGAAGGAAAAAATCTGAAGCAAATCAGAAAATGTTCATAGAATAGCAGAAAAAACAACTATTAAGGATTCTATAATATAAATACAAAAAGTCTTTGATAGACTTTTGCTCTCTACATTTCCTTTGTCTGGCATGCAAAGCCAAAAGTGCATTTCACATCAGATTATACGTGAGCTGTAATGAATTACTGAAGAATGGGCCTTGTAGAACTTTTTACCTTGTCAGAATCAATTCAAGATGCCCAAAAGATTCTTGATATCAATATATGTAATGCGTGTGCTATATATAGAAGAAAATACATATTCTTAAATCTTCTCATTATTTTACTTTGAAATGCAACAGTATCAAATCCTGTCTATTTTTTATTTCAAAGTCCAGTTAGAGGGAGGATGAGCACTTCTGCAAAAGGGGCTCAGTTCTCACTGTTAAGTAAGACACTCATTCCCCAGGAGGAAAAAACGAATACAAAAGTTAGCTAAAATCAAACCCCAAGCTTTCCTCAAAAACAACTGGACTAAAAATCCTTTCTTTTTCACTTTATTTTCCCCACAGTTACCACTTGCTACATGATCTTTTATGGCAGATACAAATTGAATTTCTGAAGTAACATATAAGCAGAGAAAAAAAGAAAAAACAAAGGTCCTTGAAAAATCCTCCAGTCCTTTAGAGAAGTCTCAGATTTCATGTCTGTTCTGAAGAGAAACATTTCATACATTGACTTTACCAGTTACAGTTAGTAATTTCTCTCTTAAGAAACCCCAGATTGATAAAAATCAAGATTTGAAAAACAGCTGGTTATAAGCATCCACAAGAGGACACAATCATCAAGCAGGATTAAACTTGCCACCCAAAACCAGCAGCACCTTTAACCACTCTATCACATGACCCATTAATGGGTGGTGGGGAGAAGGTGGCTTTTTCTCTGACAAAATTGTTGGCAGAGTAGTTTTCTTGAATAGTGTGCAATGTACTTTAATGAGACAATTCTTTGTACTTTTATGCAAGACAAGCAGGGCTGAGGGAATATATTACACAAAGCAGCACAAAAACTTAATTCAATAGAATTTGCATAACAATAATTCTTACATTGCTAATATGCTGCAACTCACAGCTGTTTGAAATCTCTAGTAATACGTAAAGCATGTCAACTCTCTAACCTACCACAAAGAGAAATTAAGCAGTCTATTCAATTAAAATAATTAATCATCATTTAGGGACTGTATATGAAGAAGCAGATGTTACATACATATAAAGGATTTCATATTTTACCTGCAAGGAAGCAAACCATCATTTTTCCAGTATTTTCATCTTCCAAGAAATCACGCTGTCTTTGCTCGGTTGGGAAAGCAGAGAACATTTTATTTTTCCATATTGCCCTGTGAATACTGCCCGACTGAATTTTTCAGCAGAGAAAAAGAAAAAATTTGAAGAAAAGTGTAATTTTCCACTCACCCTACTCTGTGATTTGAGAGTGAAGATTCTGTCATCTGGTTCCAGCAGCTTACAAGCATAGGCAATGTTGACAGCTGTCTCTCTCTTGTCACCTGTCAGCATCCATATTTTTATTCCCGCTTTCCGTAATGCCTGTATTGTGTCTGGAACACCCTCCTGCAGGCGATCTTCAATGCCAGTGGCACCTTAATTTAGACAAGCAGAAGGATTAGTGCTGCTGTATTACCAAAACCGAAATACTGCAAGAGTGACAGGACAATATAGTTCTCTGTGGGTACCCAACATCCCAAACCAGACACCCTACTGGGACATGCCTGGGAATTCCTCCCTTACACATCTTTCTGCCCTGCAGCCCATTACATGCGAGACTGTTGACACATATGCTCATTACAGCCTCAGGGGCCTCCAACTCTTCACAAGACCCTTTTAAGCCAACTTTTCTCATTCTCATGATTGTTTCATCCCATAGTGGCTGTGGGTCACAGACACCCAGGCTTCTCATGACAAATATACTCCATTATTCCCAGTCCCTCCTACATCAGACTACCCCAAACCTTCTTTCATGTATCACCTCAATCCTTCCTATCTCAAGACTCACTTCTCTTCTTATTCTCAACTGTGCTCCAGGCTGAATTCTCGGTACCTCTTGTCCCAACCCCTCACCTTTTCACACCAAAATCCTCTCTTCCTGTATCGTATTCTTGCACAGTGCTGTGAAGACCTGCCATCCATCAAGTTCCTCAATCACTCATCGCTGCAGTACCTCCTGTCCCAGGTACTTTCAATTTATAGCACCAAACGCTGTGTTTTGCCCTTCCTCCTGCCCATATTGCCAACCTTGACATATTCCCCCACAGGGAGGAAACATCTGCTCTAACACACATCCCTTAGTGGTTATAGAAAGACTCCCAACAAAAAAATACAGACTTCAACAGAGATACCCTCCTTTCTGCTATGTACAGCAGGCAGACCTGTGTCCCTAAAACCAGCTTACAAAATCTTCTGTTCTGGTAACAGTGAGGTAACACAACATCAACATAAAGCAGAACCATCTCTGAAAAGCTGCAGTGCCAGTGATTTACTACGGTACAGGATACTTCCATGGCTTTTTCAAAATACAAATTGTACTAAATCATAACCAGGGGACATGGTTTGGCTTGTGGGATTCTCAGAAAGAAACTTCAGCCAGCTGCAGCTAGGTTCATTCTGAAAGAAAAACAATAAAAAATTCAAAGCAAAGTTTTCCCTTGTAGCATGTTTCGAGTGCAGGACCCTAGCCCACAATTTGTATATAAAGCACCGACTGTCATATGGGGATGGATAAGAGCCAAAAGGTCAGGCAAATTTCTGACGCTACAGCAATTTCTTCAGTAAGCAGCTGCCAACAGGGCACAGAGCTCAGGGCCCCTGGTCACCAGGAAGATGAAAACTGCCAGGTCCTTGCTCTGCATTCTGCCTGTATTTTGATGCAAGTCAACAAAAGAGGCAGGAGGGAAGATGCTGGGACCTATTTGATGCAAGCTTCTTTGAGAGACACTGCCAGGCATTGAGGGAAGAGAGACAAATGTTGTTTCAACTTGGGCACTCTATACACTTAGCGCTCCCCCTTCTGAGGTACTTGACCTCTCTGTAATCCAACAGAAGCCAGTTTCAATATGTATACTGCCGAGATCCAGATCTGCGCTTAGTTAAGTACTGCATATTAGGACTATTCTTTCCAGAAACAGATTTCCATTCAAATAAAGACCTGAGGCTTTATATGTAGCCATATGGACGTCACACCAGCCTACTGCTGTCCTCCATGATCCTGGCAATACTGAGATGATTTTAATTTTTGATTGTTGTTCTTTGAGGACAAAGTCTTCGTTTCTCAATCCTAAGAGGACGGTCAAGAGTTACGGCTGCAGCTACACCAGATAATATTTATTAAGAAAGCAAAAAGAAGGCTCAGAGAAACAGAATGAGAAGTGCTGCAAGTAGTTCTATGCTGCAGATCACAATGTACATATGGCCCAGGCAGGGGTAACTAAGCTAGCAGAGGTACTGAAAGCAAGGACCTCGGCAGTATGAAACCATTTACCCTTCTTATTCTCATTCTCATTTAATGCTAGGGCCAACTCATATTGCTCACTGTCCCACCAGACACGAGATGAAAAAATGCCTTGGCCTGCAGGACAGCAGGTCTCCACAGCAACTAGACATCTCTCTGCTGACTCTAATGCAAAAGGTCACCTGTGCAGCACATCATCCCTTAAAACTACAGCAGCGAGAGGCATTGCTCTAGGTTTTCTCCAGAAACTGAGGCCAGTCTTCCCAGAATTCCTTTTAGTATCGAAGTTTATGGCATTTGCCCTGAGCCAATGTGGCACAAAATGAGGGAAGAAGCACCTTTCCACACAACAGGATCTCTCTCTCTTCAGCTTCTAGCATGAGTTGTCTTTACCACCACAGTCAGATCTTTGCACTTTGTTTTCCAGCTGGCCAGTCCTCTAGAGCTATTATCCCAGACTGCCTGCAGTTTACCTTTTACACGTCTACATCAGACGTTTTTCATTTTGTTTTGGCCTCCCCATTTCTGCAGAGCTCAATGACCATCAGAGGATTCATTCCTGCAGAAGCACGTCTGACTTCTTTCCTCCGTGTTATTACAGGAGGACAGAGCACAAGCATACCTGCTGTGCCACAAATGCAACAGTGATGGAAAACATGCCCAGAAGTGGGATCCTTGTGAATGTTTGCCCAGGCAGGTCTGTGATTTGTTATTATCATTTCATGTGCTTATTCTGATGACACTTAAAAACTCAAGTGAGTACAAGAAAGAAACCCAATTAAAAAAAAAAAATAAATCATTAAAACTTTACCCTTTTCAAACAACAGAGGAGCACTAGCTGTCTTCAGTGTGTTTTCCAACTAGTACAAACTTACCAGCAAGATTTATGAAAATTTAGGAGTGACAATAAATTCTAGGTTTGTAGAAAGCTGTGTGTTATGCAAATTGATGTTAGCACAGCTCTCTGCAGGTAAATTCCCATTATGAACATCACAAGCTTCCTGTGAGTTACAGCATTTTCTACCTACCGAGCAATGTCAGTTCAGACTCAAGCCTGATGGCAGATTCAAGCAGCAGCTCCTCCCTATTGTCAATACTGGTTTCTGCTAAAAAATGATGATTTAACCACTCTGCATATTCTGCATCGCTCATCACCTACAGAGGGAGAGAAAACAGATGGCATGTATCTATATTGTGCTTTCAAAGGCACCTCACAAGTGTCTTCACAGTTACTTCTGCTGTCCACATACTGAACCTAGAAGCACAGCGCCTGGCAGTGCATTATTTACATACCTCAACTTGTCCATGGATTTAGGACAATGTTCATAGTGTTAGATTACTTTGCCAGGCTTCACAAGCCAGGTTACTCACCAGCACCCTGAAGGTTCCTGGCACTGCCTGACAGACTTCCATTTAGATGGACGGTAGGCAGGTCAGTGAGCACAGTATACTCTCCCTTCTGCGCTTTAATTGCTGCACTGACACAGCCACAGAATCACTGCACAGCTGTGTACAGTTGATGACTGTACAGCTACACAGCCTGTACTTTCACTTTGCGTAAGGCTTTGTAAAGAGGTTTCTTGCCTGTTTCAATCCCTGTGGAATTTTACTTCTGAGCAGCTTTGAATTTAAAATGGAAATCTCAAAACATCATTTAAGTTTTGCATCCAGAGCTTGTAACACTGCAAACTGTGAAACCCAATAAAACAGGTCTGACTTAATTTGGTTTTTTGTGTCTGGAATTCCAACCAGGGTAAGTTTCACACAAGGAGACCTGCTCAGGACTCTTGAAAAAAATTTAGGCTGTTTGACAGCCCCTCTTTTACAATTAGGCTATTAAGCTGCTTGGCATCCTAAACTGACAACAACTATGGCAATCTAACGTAAGTCAGGAACTGGTTTGGGTCAACTTCCAAATTCCTCCTGAAAGAACATAAGGATAAACTAAATGTGGCAATAGAAGCATCTGTTTAGAAGCAGTGTTGTCTGCTCCACTGGTAATACCACTCAGGTTGGTCACAGACTGTAAACATTCTTAGAACCATGCATTAAAAGGGATACCTTCTTAGCAATACACAGAGTGCGCAGTCCTCTTCTAGCATAGTTATCCAAATGCTCCTGAGTTCTCTCTTTAATCTTTTGTTCCATTTTTGAATCATTAGTACCTACTATCACACAAAAAGCAAAGAAAGCAAATTAAATATGCATTCTTAGGTTAAATTTTGCAGAAAATTCTGAAAGTCTAAATATGTTTTAAAAATACCAAAATGTTAACAGGTTTTATTTTAACTATGAATGCATCTTCACATTTGCACAATGTACTGTGGCTGTATCTATAGTGAGCATGCCGTGTGCCAGTCTGCACAACCAGTGAGGGGGAACCCATCTGGTACTGATAACTCTTTGGATGCCACTAGTATATCAAAATGTTTTTCTAAAATAAAATTATTTTCTAAAATGTACTGTCCCACAGACACCCAAGCAGCTTTGCTGTCACTTGTCTAGTGAGAGTGAGCTAAAAGGGCAGTTGCAGAAAAGCTTTTCTAAAAATAACTGTTAAGGGGTAGACTATTCGGACAGGCATTCAACTCACCTAACTTTGGGTATGTAGAAGTTAGGTTCCAAGTTTACCTTAAGAATCAAAGCAAGGAGAGGCACCTCTAGACGTGAAATTACCCCCCTACTAAGACGATGGATTTTGGAGGTACTGTTTCTGCCCTATGGCCTACAGAGGCTTCTTGTCTAGACTGTCTAGACTTGTCTAGATGGCTAATGTTGGGTGAGTTAAAATCCACTCTTGGAACTGGAAATATCCTTTTTCCTCGCTGAGATCAGCCAGCCAAAGAACATACAAACCAAACTCCCTTTTGCAGAAAGCAAGTCTTTAACAATAATTCCTTTATATTACTTTCCAAAACATTAAAAAACCCCTTTGGAACATCTTCTGAACTCAAATATATTTAGATATTTATTTCTAACATACACAGACAATACTTTCTCTTTACTGCCTTCAGTTAAAAATCAATGACTGTCCGCTACAGTGTATGAATAAATCAGTGCTTAAACAACACGGTGCAACCCTCCTGTGGCAGATTGAAAAAAATGTTTACCCCCAAGCAACAGGGGCACCACACAACTTTACAGATATTATTATTACACCTAGAAACACAGAAATAGCCAGTAGTCAAGGGAAGAAATACTCAAAAAGCACATATAGGTGACATCTGCTACTGATACCGCTCTCAAACAGCTCAGAAACACTAACATAGGTAAAGGCTAGAAAGTATCTCATTCCAATGAACACCTATCACTGTGCAGCAGAAGCCAACTATTCAAGAGATGACCTTAATTTATAACTGGAAATACTTCAGTTGGCTCTAAAGGGTCTGCTTAGACACCACTAAGTCCTTTGAGTAACAGCTGCTTCGCCCTTCTCAGTTTCCACAGCAGGACACAGCACAGCCATATCTAGGTAACAAGCAATACTACCTTTCTGGGTTCCCTATAAGGAACTATTCACAGATAATAGTTCTGCTTGGTTACTCATCTCTTCTCATAAATCAGGCCATCTGCTCAACTGTACTGAAGAATGACAAAGGTGAGCCAAGAATTAGAAGTTCTGTAGATACCTTCAGATGCAGTTCTCAACAAATCCATCATGACTGAGTCTGCACCTTTTGTGTACACCACCACTTTGTTGGAGACTGGATGCCGAACCACCACTGACATCCTTTTCCGCACTGAATCAAAAGGCAGGATATGCAAAAGCTGGAAGGTTAAAGATCCCAGACCTGCAAAGTCCACAGTTACTTGATCCGGAGTCCTAGACTGTAAAATACATTTATAAGCCCGAGCAGCATGAACCAAGGCAGCTTCATCTGGACTCTCAGCTTCATAACATAGTTTAGGTAAGGGAGACAATTCAGTAGATGACACAGCGCTGTTGTGCTCACAGTCAGCAGCTACATTCACTGTATCTAGTTCTTGAGGCACTTGGGAATTTTCTGAGCTGTCAGTATTGAGAGACTCAGCAGCCCTTTGAGCAGCTCCATCCAAAGCAGGTGAGGTCAGTTTCGTTCTGAAAATAGACAGTTTGTTCACAAAACTACTGGGGCTTTCAGAGGATGACTCCTTCACGGCTGGAAGTGGGGAGGAACTTAGTCTCCGGACTGACAACCTCTGGAACATCTGCCTGATTTCCTCAAGCGATTTAATAGGCATCCTACCCAGCGAAGAGAGTCTCATCTGGAACAGGACAGTTAGAAAAGCATTTATGTTAAATTCTTCATATTTTAATATATTAAAGAAGGACAGCTTACAAACTATGTATGTTTCTTAATGAATGTAATATTTTAGAATTTACCATGAGTTTCATTGCTTCTATTACAGATGGCCAGCTCAAACACATAACCATGAGTATACTAAACAGCTTCTGTAAGAGTTTCGTTATTCAAACCAAAAGAATCTTCAGATCTGAAAAACTATGCATTCCAGGTTTAATTCATGAGTCCATGTAATACTTCTCTTTAGAACTGTTTCAGTAATTAAACAGGTAGTACGACATCATAACTTTTAAAAGTTGTGGCAAATAGAACTGAACACTTTAATTTTTGTTCTGAATTAGCAAGATACTTGTGAAGAATAAACCAACTCCATATTCCTCACAGGAAATAGCTACAAGTACTGCTAAAAATACAGTACCTTATCAATACTTTTTAAATGTCTGAATTTAAAACAAAAGACAGTTCCCCTCTCATTAGGGTTACAAAATAATTGGCTTACTGTTATTCCGAACAGTTAAGCAGCTAATAGCTAACAAACAAGGAACAAGGCGTGCAAGGCTGACATTAATTTCTCATTACTGTGAAGAGTTAAGAATGAGTTATCACCAGGAAGCATGTTCTCCTTTGCCACTGAAAAGCATAAAGTAAGGGCAGACTCTGGCTTCAGTTCTACAGCAATTGCATGCAAGCTGTAATGTGTCTCCATTCAGCATCATGGAAACAGAGACTAGGAACATCCCTTCATCGCCTCTCCCTAAAACCGTGCTGAAACCTTCTGTTGCCTTGAGCTCTTTCATGTCATTCCCTAATAGTGAACTCAGAAACCTCATGCCACATTGCCCCTCCCAACCTATCTACTATTGACCTGGAGATCTTCTCCCCTGCTAGCAAGTCACCCAGAAATTATTCTCAAAAAAGCGAGAATCTCACCTGTATATTTTTCTACATCACCTTTAAGGAACGGGTGATTAGTAAATATGAACACAGCTGCCCCATCCACACATGGACCTGTAGGCTGCCTACCGCTCTTTCTGGGAATGCCTGAAAGCACACTAAAATACCAGGCTTATTTATACATAGGAGGTACTTTATACTCCACAGGATACCTTTTGGGAATGTCTCCAGCCATGGCTGTAGGTTCACTGCCTAGATGGACACCAAAATCTAGTCCTGCACATGTCATAAACATTTTTTTCAGAAGACAAATTCAACAAATGGAAATCACCGGGGGATGGAGGGAAGGAAATCAAAGCTGAACTTGGGAATTATCCTGCCACACAGTCAAAACTGGTAAAAGATGGGGTTATGAAAATCCCACCCTGAAAAAAAAAAAGACTTGAAAAAGATAGTAGTATCTTTAAATTGATGTTAGGTTCTGTGCTCTGAAAACAAGTGGTCTCAGGAAGACTTAAACATACTCCAGACCATTAAACCAGGACAGTCTAGCAAATGCACTGTACATTCAAGGTGAGACCACTTTATGTCATACTGCAAAGCATTTTTTCTTCAGATTATTACACATATGAAACTTGATCTTCCACACTTTTGCTGAAACTCTATTTGAATAGTCAGGGAACAGGTAAGAGCATTCTCAGTTCCATACTCTGGGAGGCTTCTCAAATTATTCTTATCTTTCAGCCAACAATAACCTATTTGTAAAGGTAACCTGAGTGTTACAGACTATACAGCAGCAAAAATATTGAGGCCAAGTTTCTCTGCATCGGAGAAACATTACCCTCATTGTATTGCACTTTAACTAATTGCACTTCATGGGTTTACAGTAATTCCCTTCTTTCTAACAGGACAAACCAATACCGGAGCAAAGGATAGTGTTTTAAATGTCAGTTAATTGTTTTTCCTTTTGTAATCAAACCAAAGGGAGCTCACTGATTTATGAATATGGCCAAATAGCCAAAAATAAGGCCTTCTTACCTTCTGACGTGGCTGATTGGGGACTGAAACTACAACAGTATTACAGATTGCCAGAGCAAGAAAGAAGTCAGTTATGTATGCTGTCTCCAAAGATAACTTGCTGCTGGCTTCTTCTGACTGATGATAGGAATGAGAAGAAATTTGACTGAACTTTTCCAGCAGTTGTGCGTCTGGTACAACATCCGTTTCCTATTGATGAAATGAACAAAACTGCCCATTAGGATACAAGTTTAATCTGTCTCTGGAGCTCATACAACTTCCTTCCCGTCATATGCTGAGTTGGTTATACTAAGAAACAAGAGGAACACTCTGGTGTCTTCACTGTCTTGTGCTAACCCATTGAAAATGGCCAACTTCATGTCCAGACAGGTAAACAGTAGACACTGTTAGTTCATAGACACTTCAATAGATATTAAATACGATGAATGCTATTTAGACACCTTCAGGTACAGAAGCAGAGTGTTTTCTTCTCATAACCTCCAATAAATATTGGTCAACTAGATACTTCCTATTAAAACCAAAAGAAAATGCTAGGAACCTCTCAAAACAAAAAACCAAACTGTTATTAAGATGAAGCTGGTCATTTTAGCTGGAGTGATCACGGACTCACAGCAGCAAGAACCAAAGCATACAACCTTTGTGACCCAATGAACATCTGCAATGTCAGCTGCAAATAGGATGCAACTAAGCAACCATGGGAGGATCTCGTTTTGATGGAAGAGAAAGGATTTCTTAAATGACAAGCACTCTGATCAAATGGGGGTAAGAAGATACTGCTTCGTGAGTTACTTCCAAAATTTAGCATCAAAACCAACAGCTTTTACTTACAATGGGGCTGCTGAAAGCAACGTGTCCTGCGTGGGGAACATCACCTGCTCCATCTTCCCTTCCTAATGCAGGTAATCCAGACAACTGATTCAAAGACCTTCTGTTCAAAGGTTCATTCACAGCTCTGCAGTTGTGCCCCTGCCGTTTTGACATATGGGTCGAAGAGCCACACTGACCATCAGCTGAATCCTCATCTTCTGAATCTTTCTCCTGATAGGATTCCAATCTCTTTGCTATGGAAAAGGAAAAAAAATTATTGTTCCATGAGCAAAAAGAAACTTCTCTATAACACTGCCTGGAGGTCCAGGGAACAAAATTTTAAAGTAAGGACTATAGTATAAAGTTAAGAATAATCCACCATTTATGAAAAATAAAACCCCTAACAAGCCATCACACTGACTTTGTGTTTGGGACACCACACTTCAAGAGCACCATTCCACTGAAGTGAATCCAGAAGATGAAGCAAGAGTGATCAGGGTTTTAGACAACATGAGCCACATGGAAACAGTAAAATAAGCCGGAGTTACACAGCCTCCAGAAGGGCACATTGATGGGAGCCAAATAATAGTCTTCAAGTACCTGAAGGGCAGTTGCATAAAGAAGGAAAATAGCCTGTTTTCTACACACACTGTGGGTAATAGAAGACACAATCGTCCTATATTATGGCAAGACAGACTCAGGCTAGGTATCAGCAAAACTTTGTCAGAGAAGACATGACATATTAGAACAGAATGCCTGAGACAGCAGTGAATTGGTCATCCCTGGAGGTCCTGAAGAAATTAAAAAACCCCATATTCATAAAGAACGATAGCAACAACCCTGCCGTAGGCCAGAGAAACGGGACAAGATCACCTCCTGATATGTTTTCTAGCCTAATTATTTTATGACGGATCAGGATTGTATGATAGTGGCTTGACAAGTACAGCTTCTAGCAGAAACTCATGTAAGCTGTGTTTCTTATCATCTATGAACTAGACACCCTGTCATGCACACATACACATTTTCTGAGTATTTAACTGAAAAGCAGGTTTCAATAATAAAAAACTTTGTATTGACATGTCTCACACCTTTGCACCAAAGATACAAATGCAATTTTGTGCCCCACAAATCTAGCTAAGAAGATCAGTGGCGTAAAGAACCTCTGTAGCAAATGGAAATATGCCTATGCTATCATGTGCTTGTTAAGAACATACCCAAGTGTTTGCACTGGAGTTCTGGGACAGTGTTTGACAACATGCAAGAGGTTGCAATCTCAATCCAGAGAGCACTGGATCACTGTACACTATTCAGCTTTCAAGTTTTTACTTGTCTCTGTGAAATAGCCTGCAATGACCATACACTAGCAGTTCAGTATCTGCATCCACTGACAGCATGGAAAAACTGTTCTGAGAGCTGTGCATTGCCTATTTATTTCATTAAAGCGTGAATACAAACTGTGGCATCCTAGGGAAAAAAAAAAAAAAAGTATTAACAGACATCTCCTGCCACACCACTAATTCCCTATTTTTTTTTATTTAAAGTGGCACCTGCTGCACAGGAAAGAAGTGAAAAGTAGGATATTATTCTGGTTTATGCAAATGGAAAACCTATCCACAGTTCAGAGTCCCCAGCTCTGGTGCTGCAAATGGATAGAAATAGGTTTATTATGTCACTTTTGAGTCTTTTTCCTCCTAGCCAAAACACAGGAAATGTTCGGGAAATGAGCTACCATATTTGCTAGCCTGTTAAGTTCTCCTCCTTTCCTGTTGTCTTCTCTTTCTGGAACATAAATGAAGGCCTCCTGACCCTCATCCTGCCATTCTGATGAGTCCGAGGAAAGCAGGGAGACCAGAGCTTACACCTTCCTTGGCAGGTCATCGCCCTGATGTCAACATGAGATTAACAAAATAGTTCTTTTAAAAAAAAAAAAGGATAGGTGGGAACATAACAGACTGTGGCTCTCCACAACTACCAAATATAATATGCCACATGTGGTACTGACACCTTTTACCAGAAAGCAGCAGACTTAGTACATATTTGTAGAGGCAGGTTTGGACAACACATGCCAATTCCAGTACGCTTCCAGGCTGTTGAGAAGCCTGTATGCTCTGTCTGAAGTAACATACGTGGCACGTCTTATAACACCACACTGCTCTGCTGCCATGGCGCAAGAGGCACATGTTACTTTAGACAGAACACTGCATGGGGGCACCTATATTATACTGAATCACAGTCATTGCTGTTGTGTGCGTCCCTCATGTGCATCCCTTTACCCTGACCAATGCAGATATAAATACAGAAACGCATGTACAGACTAAGTGGCTTGTATGCAAAAGACTCTACTGTTTTGCACTGCAGCTCTTACTATATGTAGCAGCAGCCTTGCAAACAGCAGCTCCATGCAACTGAACAAATGTAAAACAGGACTAAAACACAGGACCTCCAAAGTCTTTCAAACTGATTGCAGGGCTCACATAACTCCTAGATTTGTTAGGAAGAAGCACATGCTTATCCTCCATGTAAAAGACAGAGCACAGCAGGAAATAATTATAAACACAATTAACACACTAATCTTTTTGGAAGATAACTCCAAGTGAAATACTAGGAGAAGTAAGTGATAGACATACTTTCCTTGGCACAATGAGACCTGGATCAGCCACAGCTACACCAATTGCACTACTCTTTGGTTTCTCTCTTCTGAAATACTTTTCCTTCCTTTAGAAAACGCTCTGAAAAAATATATTCTATTTTTCATTTAAGTTGTTCATTCACCAAGTTCAAAACTTAAAAATATTTCTTCTCACTTTGCTGTTGTCATCCTTCCCAGTATAATTATGCAACGCCAAAGAAGCACCTGGACACCCGCACCATAAAATTTTCAAAATATGTGCAGAAATTACTGTAAAAACAGCTTGTAACCATCTGCTCCTGTGACACAACAGAAGAAGGGCTGAACCGATTCACTGCTGCGGCCAGCAGGGTGTGCCTTTTGCTCGCAGTTGTGAGCAGTTCTGTCTGGCAGCAAACCCACCAAACCACAAAGGGGGGTTTAATACAAAGCTGTGCTTCGCATGTCCATCTGTCAGCACCTCACCTCTTACCTCATATGCAATATTTGCATTGCCCATCAGCAAAATAGCAAATGTCAGCAGCCACTAGTACTTACACACAGTAACAAAAACTTTGTGGTTTTACCTCACTAGTAAAATAGCTAATTGAATCAAAGACTTCATGTCACTCTGCCCAATTTTCTTTTGTGTCTGAAGCTGTATCTTGTCCCAGCTCCCAGAAGGCTTCAAGAAGGCTCTCATGAAACATATATTGAAAGATGCTACACTATTAGACAATGAGGCAGCAACTATTCAGTTACACCACTTTGTTGACTTTTTAGCTAACAATCAACAGGTGTGTAAGAGGGAAGTAACAAAGCAACAGTCATTATTTTTGATGGAAGCACTCATCTTTGCAGCCTTAACACACACATCTGCTTGACTTGTACCTTAACATTACTGTTAAAGCTCCAACTTCAGCATGTATTTTATTTGGGTTACTGTATCCTCAAGGACAACAGTACGTCGAATCAGAGCTTTAACATATACTACATAACGGTGGTACACTGCTAAGGCAGTCAACAACATGTTTGAACTCTAAAATGCTAGATAAGCACTAGCGCTCTAGTTTAAAAACTAAAAAGAGAGAGAGAGGAAAGACTGGATGGGCAATTTTCCAATGTTCTGAGTTCTGAATACTGCAAAGCAGCACCTTACATACAGCCTTCAATTCTCTTAACACACTATATATTAAGGGATGCAAATAATGGGGAAAGATGTGTGGCTACTAGTAGGATCATACCTTCCATGAGTCTGTACTGCCACACAAACCTCATGAAGTCCACCGGACCCCTATCAAAACTTTCAGCTTCTCTGAGAAGGGAAAAATGACCCATTGTGTGTTTAGTGTCTTACCATTTTCCTCATGGCAATACTCCTGTCCTGCAATGCTGCATCTCCGAAAAACCATCTTATTTTCAGTAAGGGTTCCAGTCTTGTCAGAGAAGATATACTGAATCTGGCCAAGGTCTTCAGCAATATTCAGTGCTCGACACTGAATTGTTGAGTCTGTTTTCTCATGGTAAAAATCAATGTCATTCTGTATTAAATAAATTTGTCCCAATTTGACAATTTCAATTGAAACATAGAGAGAAATTGGGATCAAGACCTACCAAGATAAAACATGGGAATTAAATAAAACCAAACTGTTTGGCCAGTTACAAACATGAAGTAGCTCCACTGAAGCTGAAGAGTTACTTCAAGGATATAAATGAGATCAGAATATGACCCACATTCAAAGCAGAACAAAGTTACCTGTAATAAAATGATCATCGTCCAGAACATATTGAACCCTGCTAATGCTGGAGGAATCGACTTCCCATCTGGCTCAGGGATGTTAAAAAAAGGTATTTCTGAATACCTACTTAACCAAATTCCGTGGCCTTGAAAACAAGAAGATAAAGTGAGTCAGTTGTATGTAAACTGTATCACAGCTCAGGGTCATGGTGTTAGCTGCTACACTTTGCACTTCTTTCTGTGCTTTTAAACTACTATTTTATCTCTTGAGTTTTTCCCTCAGCAGCAACCCTATTAAAATGAATTATCATTGCACACATGGATAAATACCTTACATGCATTTCTATCAACAGCACATCTATACAGCATATCTCAGAACTACAGGAACTACACTTGATAAACACTTCCCCCCGCCCCTGAAAAACCTCAGTCAATTAATTGTATTATCCTTGCTTGTCCAGATTTTAGTTAACCTGTGAACACCATGTCATCATTATTAAGGTAGTCTGAAGAAGTTTTTTTAAACATGATTTAAACACTTCTAATTTGTCATAAGTTAGTCTGCTCACTATTTAATCAGTCCCTAAAGTATCGAGTCCTTACAATGCTAGTTACGCTAGCCCTCTCCCCACAATGCTGTACATGCATCTCATGTTACTGAAAAAATCCTAAGAGAAAGTAGGAGTTTTGCAGAGCAATTAGTGAGAGAAAAGAGAAATGAATTGGAGAAACAGGTTACACTCGCACCAGGAACATACTTCTTGACAACACTCCAGATTAAACATGACAACACAACCTAAACCTGGCAGCATCCCCAACTCCTAGGGAATTACACATAGATAAAGGCAGCTTCTGAGATAGGTTGTTAAAATGAATCAGTCCCAAAATAAAACACTAAGCATTGCAGGCTGAGAGAGGAAAACAGCAGGAGTCTGCTGATTCTCACTTACCTATTGCACCAGTTAAACACATCAAAATTAGAAGCAGAACACACCAAAGAATATCAGTGTTCACTTTTCTTTCCAATTTACTGCGCTTGTAATGAGGGCCACTGTTATTCAGCATGGCTTTGGTTTCATGACCTGTAACCACAACATCAGCTGAAATTTTCTAATAGCAGGTATCAAAGCCACAAGTGCTTTATATTTCTAAAGCTCTGGGAAATGGGACATTTCTGTTAACTAGTATTTGAACAGAGATACAAATATGAGCAAACTAACCACTGCTACAATATATGAACTCTGTCCTAAAGAAAACTGAACAAGCTAAACCAAAATCTGTCATGTACACATTAACTTTTATACTGTCAATATATTCCTTCTGTTTTCTATATTATTTCTAATACTTTCTACTAAATCCTGCAGCTGCATCACGACTATCTGGCTGGATACATCCTATTGATTAGTTTAAAAACCTCTGCCCAACTAACCACTGCTACAATATATGAACTCTGTCCTAAAGAAAACTGAACAAGCTAAACCAAAATCTGTCATGTACACATTAACTTTTATACTGTCAATATATTCCTTCTGTTTTCTATATTATTTCTAATACTTTCTACTAAATCCTGCAGCTGCATCACGACTATCTGGCTGGATACATCCTATTGATTAGTTTAAAAACCTCTGCCCAACTAACCACTGCTACAATATATGAACTCTGTCCTAAAGAAAACTGAACAAGCTAAACCAAAATCTGTCATGTACACATTAACTTTTATACTGTCAATATATTCCTTCTGTTTTCTATATTATTTCTAATACTTTCTACTAAATCCTGCAGCTGCATCACGACTATCTGGCTGGATACATCCTATTGATTAGTTTAAAAACCTCTGCCCAACTAACCACTGCTACAATATATGAACTCTGTCCTAAAGAAAACTGAACAAGCTAAACCAAAATCTGTCATGTACACATTAACTTTTATACTGTCAATATATTCCTTCTGTTTTCTATATTATTTCTAATACTTTCTACTAAATCCTGCAGCTGCATCACGACTATCTGGCTGGATACATCCTATTGATTAGTTTAAAAACCTCTGCCCTTTGATACAGAACACTAAAGAACAGAATTAGCTTCACTTTTGGTTCAGAAAAAAATCCTAAGCAAGCCATGCATCTCCACGTCCACTTCAAAACCTGGGTTTACCATCACAACTAACCATTGAGGACAAGGACCTGTTCACACAGAACAGAGCTGGCCTCCCATGAATAATCAGACATATCAGTTCTTTATGTTGTTAAAATACAAACAAACTTAATCCCAACATGCATTCTTAACATTTCGAGCTACAGCTGCCTTCTCTGATGGATTGAAGCTTTTACTCTCCTAATTCCCTTTGTACGACACTTTCTTAGGGCACATAACCATATCTTGTTTGCAAGGCAATCTGCAAAAGCCAGGGGGGTTCACTAACCTGCATATACCACTATGCCTACAACAGCTTCTGTGTTTCTTACTGCGCATCCTCGGAGCAGTAAATTTTCCTTGCTGAGGCCCACTCGATCCTTGTTTGAATGCTCACTGAAAAAAATGCACATTACTTCAGCTGTAGGACTCCAGAAATTACCAGCCAGGCTTTGCAAAACCATTAGGGAACAGATTTCCCCAAGAAGCTGCTACTCACTGACTGCCATTCTGATACTTCTGATCGGACTTTTCAAAACAATGGGGTAACGTGCATGCAGATCAGCTTTGGAAATCCAGGCATGTAGGCACTGTATTAAAATTCTGTGTTTACAAGCCTAGCATTTGCCAGCTGGCATGTGAGAAGCAGGCAACGCTACTGAAAAGAGCTCAAGACAAACACTGTAAGTCTGAAAGCCTACGACTTCTACTTGGATTGCCAACGTCAGAAAAAATTCAAACAAAATATAAAATCCCACTTTAAATATACTGTGAACAGCATTATTCCTGTGGCTTAATTTCAGTGCAGGTAGGCCCACTGTTTGTCATGGTGTTTCCTCAGAGACTAAGATTTATATATATTTATTTTTATTTTCATATTTCTAATGTGTCAGTGCCCACAGGGAAGAATATAGGCATTGTAACTCTCAAAACCTGAAAATCAGTCACACCATGAAATAGTATTTTGTTTTCCTACTGTCTATAGAAAATCATAAACCCATAAGACGAAAAGACACAGATAGGCACATTGGTCAAAAGGAGTTTGATGAAGTCACTGATAGTTACACAATCAGAGCAGGAGAGAAAACCCATCCTTCCCATTCCCAATTCTGAGCAATGAAGCTTGTCCAATCAGGCCATGGTCCAGACCAACTACTGTAGATATCACACATTATTAAGAGCAGATGAGTATCAGCTATTTCAAATGTGGAATACACAGTTGCAAACCAGCCTGAACTAAGATGTTGAAAATATTCAATACAAAATAAAAAGCACTAGTGAGCTTTCACAGTTCACAACCTGCTGCTCTAAAAGCCTTTCTGGACCTCTATCTGTTGGGCTGCACTCAGAAATGTAGTGGTGCAAACTGACTTCTATACATACTGTCATTATTTTTTAAAGCACACATTACAAGCTCTCTGAAAATTAATTAAGAGCACCAAAGCAAATGACAATAGTTAGAAGAGCCACCAAGCCTACTTACACAAAGCCTCGGAAGCGACTGAGGTCGTTATTAGGACTTTCACATTCTATTCTACTGGAAAATTTTTCTGGATCAATTTCAAAGACCTAAAGCCATAGGAAAAAAAAAAACCAGAGAACTCAGACAAAACGTGATGGAACTTAAAAACATCATAAATTCATAGGTTCAGATATTACTATCTAACAATTTAGCTTTGAAACTGTAAGTTGCTGGTGGTGGTGATGATCTGCTACCCAGCATAAATCAGACTTACACAACATGGAAGGACCTCCTAGTAAATATCCAACCCTGGCAAGTATCAGTTGAATTACTGATATTTTGAGAACACTGGAGAGGAGAAAATGGGTGGAAGAGTGAGGAAGAAGAAAAAAAAATGCAGTAAGAACATCTGAAGAACAGAGATTTCCCCATAGTTTTTCTTCATGATAAGGAAAAAAAGAAGAGGCACTGTCTTCTCTGCAAGCAGAATTTCTTCAAACAGCTGTTGTTTCTGACACGATGTCCAGGATGCTCTCTGTGCTATGCAAAGAAAGCAGTTAGTACTTTTTAATGATGTTTGAGCCTCACCAATACCAAAGAAAGGGATGTTATGAAAGACTAGAAGTACACGTTGTGAATAAAGAGCAGATGAGCTCTTCCGTGAAAAGCCAAGCAAAATAAATATCCTTTATTAATAAAGAATGAAACCTGACAAGAAGTAAGAGAAAAACCAAAAGGCCTTATCTTTGGAATTACCTGCAATTGCACTTGCAACTGAATTTCAATTAATGGCATATGAGTATGGTTCTAGCCTCTAAGTATAACAGAGCCGTTTCTAAGCTGAGTACCTTCCACTAAGTCTTTGGAAAGTCATTTGTTCTGCTCTTTAGAAAAAAGAATGACCAATTTAAGGTTTCAAACTCCAACGATAAACCTATAATTCACAGGTGTAATTGAATACATCTTCTACATGATTACAGGTCTCTGAGAAGGCTGCATTACCACAACTGAGTGACTTCACACTGGCAGAATAGCAACTGTGAGGTTAAAATGCAATCCTGTAAGTAGAATTTGGAAGTCAGAAGGCATAGTATTATTAACACATACTTTGTTGGCTTGATTAAAAAAAATTTTTTTGCTATGTTTTGCTGTATTGATTTATTGCACTGTATTAACCTGAAGTCAATCTGAACACAGCCTTAGACAGACAGATACCTTCAGTCTCTTTGTAAATTTAATTAACTATGAAAGACCTCTCTCTCCACTGACATGTCTCATGTTTATTTGTACAGGAAGTACTAAATTTCTGTAAAATGTTACACACTTTATATGTGCCTATACATACACAATATAACTGATTCACGCTTTTCAAGCATTTCACATTGTAAAATGATTACATAAAAATGTGCACAAAGAGAATAAGAACTGCTTCTTTTTTTCTACAGCCTAGAAACTGTCTCCAGACATGTATTTCTGGTGAAAGCACCTTAGTTTTGATGGTCAATGAAACCATTTGACTTGGTCAAACAATTTGTAATAGCAGTGAGGGTGTTAGTAGGAGCTTCTTGCAATATACCTTGAAATAGCAACCACAGAAGCTCAGGATGTAACCTATAGCAGGCACAGAAGTTATGTCTACACTCTGCCAGTATAAAACAGAGGTGACAAAAACTATGTCCAAAAGTAGGTATCTTGATATGGGCACTCAGATCTTCCCGGACTATAACTTTATGATCTGTATTTCTTCATTATAATCTTAACTTTTATGAAGCAAATATTGAGAGTAGAGGATTTTGCACCTTATTTCTTGAGACGCTTTCCTATGTTTCCAAGCACAAAAGAGATTTTCTATGGCAGAATTAAAATTACTTGGATTTTGTGTAAAGGTCCCTAAAGAAGGGGGACAATAAAGGTGGGAACTGAGTAAGGAAGCCAGGAGTGATAGGCCCTGCATCAGACTCTCACTGAAATGGGGAGAGGGAGCTTCCCACGGCCATGCCTGCTGTTTCAGCCATGCTGTGCTCAAACTATATGATTTGATAACATGGCATGGGAATGGAGTGGGTGCATGGCCAAGGTGGAAGAGGAGAACTGGCACCTCCTTTCATGAGCTTGGCCTCTTAGGCTGCCTAGAAGGAAGAGGACAGCACTTTTCCTCTCCACTAGGTTTGAGGGTGCTGCAGCTAGGACTGGATTCAGTCATTGACCACGTAAGCTGAGAAGGAACTGACCAGTGCAGTCCTGTGGCATCTCATGATGTAACAGGAAACATTCACTGCTCACAGTGACTTAGTGCTAATTATTAGCTTCTCCACCCCAGTGAACCTGTGCTTGGTTCAGCTAACCACATGAGGTGTGGAAGTAACAGAAGATTAATCCCATCTTAATGGGAAGCAACATTTGAGTATTTTGAAAGCAGCAGGGCAATGTCAGTTTGTTCACTAAATAGCTCATTATCCTCAGGGAGCAGGTCCTCAGCTGTTTTGTGTATTTCTCCAGGAACGCCAAGGTGGTTGGAGACACTGTGTTCTGTGCCTGGTTACTTGCTGTTACCTAAGGAGCCTCAAGGTACTTCCCAAATTTCTTTCCTGTTGTCATTTAAGCATTTAAAAAAAAAATTATGCTATTCTAAGTTGCCAGAAAATAAATTTGACAATGAGAGTTTCAACTCCTACTTCATGCTTTAATTTTGCCTTGCCTTCTCATAAAGGAATGCCAAGTGCAAGAACAGGTGCCCCACTGATAACCTTTTTCATTGTGTTTCTAGTTGCTCAGTCACAAAGAAGCAGGACATAACACCCCTGGCAAGCAGGTTAAGTCTTTTTAGTCCTTGTCTTCAGGTGTTCTTTAATTTCATGTAGTTTATTCCTATTCTTCTGAGCTTAAGAAATGGAGAGGTCAGGCAGTCAGCCTCTAACACAGCACTGCCAGTCTTATTCAGCTTGAGTTTATAAGGACAAAGTCTCTGGCTGAAACTCAGCTGGTGGGGCACTAGAGATCTGTGAAGCTGACCATGGCTGTAGAGAAACCATGCAGTCCTGACAAGAAGACTCTACAATGACTTTTTTTTTTTTTTTATTTGAGGACAAAAATTAACAGTCTTGAATGGTGAAGGAATTGTCACTTTTTTTGGACAGTACGACTCTTCCTAGTAATTTGGTGCAAGTTTTCTGGAAACAGAGAAAACAGTCTCTTTCTTGAGCGAGACTGAAATCAGACCTTGGTAGCAGGAGCTGGTATAAGATCAGGATCACCTCACTATGATCTAAGCCTGTAGAACCATTTGAATTTTGCCTTGCATAATGGTACATAGAAACAGAAAGATCAAACTGCCTTATTGTTTTAAGCTTACATTAAGAAAAAAAAAATTAAAAATGCATGTCTCTGTAAGGCGATAAGAAACAGCTTTGTTCATGGATATCACATCATACCTTTGGTATTACCATACTCGATAAGTAACAGGGGAGCCTTAATGCACAACAAGGGACTCTTCCTCACCACTGCTGACAGTTCATAGGCAGTTCAGGTAATTTTATCTCCAGAGGACTAAACAGTCTGTTATTACGGACAGCACCGACTCTCCCGGCTGCTGTTTTTGGCATGGTGTTTCAGCAGCAGAACTCAGTACCAGGTGTGCTGAAGAGTGCAGAAATGCCAGGATTCTTTGTTATTTTGATATCATCTTCTTTGTGCCTACCTCCAGCATGTTGTCTGCCAGGTATAATACTGTGTATTGTATGGAGGTAAAAATACGTTTGCAATATGAAAAAACAGTGAAAGAGAGAAGATAGTATCTGCTCCTCTCTCTAGGTCTTTATACAGCACAGAACCCCCTTCTAAAAAATTCCAGTTTCTCATCCATGACACGATATGCATCATAAATTATTTCTTGACATTTACCTGAATAGTTATTTTTACTGGCTTGCATTACTTGAAATAGATCTCTCTTTCTCTGGGTTAAGTGAACACACAAAGATTTGCTCCAGAATTACTCAAGCAACAAATCAGAACTATGTTACCTAGTTATTTTGTTTTCAGATGGACATTGCTGAGCTATCAAGAATTAGGCGATCTAGAGGGCTGGGTTGTTTGGGTTTTTTTTAGTTGACCATCTGTCATGTCAACTTTCTAACACCACTAGAAATGCAAAATTATCACCTGCTCTGAAAATCCTCTCACCACCTGCCTCTGCTTTAGATTGGTTTCTCCATCAAGGCATGCCATCTGGAATGATTTCATTACGTGAAAGCCGGATGAAGTCCCCAACATTGATGTTTTTCCAGCATTCATCTACGTATTTCTTCTCCTTCCTGAAATATATAAAAACCAGTAATTTTTTACAAATGCATAAACTGAAAGCTCAGAGAAACACACTGTAACTAGAAAATTACTCTAATAGTTAATTTATGCTTCCAAGTCATTAAAAAACCTGATAAGATAGTCTTTTAGCACAAGGTGAATATAATTACAAAGAATCAGCCCTGGGGTCCAAGCCCTGTTTTTCTGGGAATTACATTCCACACACCCTCCCAGAACTATTTTAGCTCTATTTAAAATTCAGCCCACTTGCTTCCTGTATTTTCATTATCCCAAGAAAGTACAGAGTGTTTTGAGGATTTCTCTTTGGGTCACCAATTTTTCTTGCAATTATGCAACTCAGAACAGCAAATCTTTTTCCCTTCTGATTGGGCCTTTCAAAAATGTCTGTCTCCGAAGATGATGAACATCTACCAGTAAGCAAAGAATATTCAGCAACCACTTCACTGATGCTCTGAATATAAATACTTGTATTTACAGGCTTTTAAAATATCTTTTCCATTCATTTTGAACATTAGGCACCAAGACTCTATTAATACTCAAGGAAGTCAATAAAAGCTCAGGTCCATCAGCACTGAGTTAAAATTCTTTATTAATATGAAATATCCAGGGCATGACGTACATAAGGTTGAACTGTTTTCAATTTTCCATTTATAGCTGCTGTTCTGGCCTCAGCTGAGATGAAGAATCTGCTTTTTATGTAATCACAGCACTTTGCTGCAAACACAGTCAGGTTTGGAGTGGCAAACAGGATGCAAGGTAATAAGCAACAAGGAGTGCCTGATGAGCTAGCTGGAGGCACGCAGTAGCAGGCTACTGCAATATGGGTGATGAGACACACCTACAGTTGCTGTTACCAATACTGCACAGCTCTGCATGCAGTACCTTTTTGTATGAACTATTACTGCCCTCAGTGACTGACTAGTACTGGCTTTCCTGCCTTGCACAGCCTAACCTTAGAGCTATGTTTAAAGAGAGGAGCATGTACTCTCCCCAGTCTTCGTTTCTCAGTTTCAAGCCAGAAAAGAAGATCAGAAATTAATTCTGCTTCATTAACATTGGTGTGAGATTGCAAGTAACACAGTTTTCAGGAATATGGATACTGAATGCTTCAGCTTTCTGGCAATGAATTCTTTCAGAGTACATGACAATTTATAGCAGAAATAATCCAGCTTCTCCCTTAAGCCTTCTCTGCAGACATGAAAAGGAAAGAAAATGTTTATCTTCCCTAATAGCCCAATTACTTACTTGTTTCAAGCTCAAATTTTTACAGGTTGAATAGAATGTTTCTGGGAAAGCTTCTGTGTATGTGTGTGTTTGCAGTACAAAAAGCTGGGTTTTTTTCCTTTGATGTTATAAAATGATAGTCCAGATTTTTTCAATGGTTATGAGCTATCTCCTAAAATACCAATAGAGCATGGCAAATGCCAGGAAGCTGGAGATTCCATCTTCTGAGTAATATCACAATATAGTTAATGGTTCGGTAGTACCAGATTGCAAACCTGCTGCATGGGCTGATTAAAGTCATGTCTACAGTTCAGAGCTTAGGGTTTGGCATAACCAGCCAGCACAGTAAAATTTTAGAAAGTTTATTTTCAGCATATTGCCTTCACTAGGAAAAGGTGTGTCTTTTAACAAATTCAGTAAGGTCAGAGCAGTAACTAGTTTCTGTAGTGCCAAAACATATTTAAAGCTCCCTCTTTTCATTAAAGTGCCTAACTGCTGATCCACCTTCTCCTATTGCTATTTGAGATGGCTACTATGAAAAGTGATGTTTTTCAAAATACTTGTCTCCTTGCATGACCACAGAGCAGGCAAGAAAACAAAAAGGGTCCACTATACTTCCTTTATCTATTACAGGCTTTGAATGAGTCTCAGAATATCCTTTTATGACAGGTATAAAAGAAAAACAAATTATGTGGACAGCACTGATGTGCACTAAAAGAAGTTTTTTGCCACTTAATTTGCATTCCCATCTTTTTGTCATCCATGCGTAGTAACTGCCTGTCAGCAAACCTCTCACCAGCAGGATACTCCACTCCTGACCCGCACCTGAAGTCTGTTAGATTGCAGTCCTGCACTGTGGAACAGATGCTAACATTTGTACCAAACTACATGATGTAATCAAACAGAAAATTACCTAATTCTGTTTGGGGAAATGTTACTACGTTATGAGTACACCCCAATACAATTAATGAGCTTTACCAATATAGTGATAAATTAGCAACACTTGAACTTCCATGATGCTTACAGCTATTTTAGAGGAATTAAAAATACACCTTTCAAAACAAATACTATGTATAACAATGCTTAAATAGTCAAACTACCTTGGTTAATACAGTACAAACTCATGCATGAACACTCTTGCCTCAACCAAAGAATATTTTTTTTCAGCAAATCTTCCACTAATTTGAGATCCTTTTAGCAGAACTGATGATCAACACTCACCTAGACTAGTCCATGAGCAACCTGATCCAATTAGACCTGCTTTGAGCAGGCAGGTAAACCAGATGACCTCCAGAGACCCCTTCCAACTTAAATTATTTTATGATTCTATGGGTATCCAGAAAGTAAACCACATATATTCATAATTAAATAATAACAATAAACTAAAAACTGTTGTCTCTTACCTGCTGTACACTTTGGTTAGTAAGTTGTTTATCTGTTTATCCATTTTATACTTTGAGTAATCTTCCAGACCATCTTTCACTGCAATAATTGTCAGAACCGCTACTAGAGGTAGCATTGTAATTTCTTTTTGGAAGGCTTCCACCAGAGGAACCCAATTTAGGACAACTAGAAATAGGAAATACAAATTGGCAACTCTGAAACAAAGAGAAAACATAGGAGTTAGCTGTGCTAGCAGTCAGTCATCCTTATTCCCCCACTTCATGCTATGCAGACAAGTTAGCAGTAATTTCTGTTCTTCCCCCCAACTGCAATTTAACAACTAAGTATCCAAAACTCATTTTTCAGTCAGTAGATTACTTAGCTGCACAATGGCTTAATATGCATGATCAGAAGATGCAGAAACCAAGAATTTTCCTGTATTTTCAAGCTTGTCCTCCAGGCATATATCGTCTAATGAGGCTTTGGTGAACTTGCACTCTCTCAAATTTCCATGTCTTTTAAACTTAATTTTATCATCTCCTGGAGGAGATGACATGTTTTTAAAGGACAGCCATCATCCTACAACCTCCCTGCATAACTTTACAAATCAGCAGTTCTCCAGGCAAAAGAAGGATGAAAAAAAATTGGCAACAGAGAAAGACATGGGGGGAAGGGGAGAAATATATTTGCAGGAAATGAGCTGAAAATCCTACTGCAGATTGCTGTGTGGCAGTGCTCCAAGAATAAGGAATATTTCAATAATCCAAATAACGGAATGAGTGGAAATTACCTCAACTATGAAGAAAAGGGTTAGCCCAACACTGATGATACTCAAGAGACTTTGGCCAAATAACACAGATCTTTTCAGAAGTGATAGGCAGGTCAGGAGGAAGAATAATTTTTGAATACCTGTCTATATAGTAATAAACACACTTAAATAAAATAATTCCATTAGAAGAATTACCAAAATCAAAAGGAGTTCATTACCTGTGAAATTGTTCAAATAAATTCCGTGGTAAAAAATTCAATAAAGTATACTTAGTAGTCCGTATTTTGTTGTTCATGTACAGTTTTGATACTTTTTCATACTCTTCCTTAAAATGTCCCAAACAGGGTATCACTATCCTATGTTTCCCAATAGTTTTTGATGATTCGTAGCACTTGTTACTTGGATTGCTGCTGCTGCTACCTTCTCCGCCCCCTGTAGATATCAGTCGCTGCCAACGGTATCGGGCCCAGCGGATGGGATCTGCCATTGCGCCTGAAATGCTTTATAATCCAAGAAGCATCCTCTATCTAGAAACATGTTAAAATACAGCAAGTTAAGTAATAATAAACTTCCTAAAAGCCTGGTCAACTGCATCACTACCCTTTGGCTAGAAAGCTTTCCCCTAATGTCTAACTGGTCTCTTCCTCTTATCAAATTAAGATGGTACATTTTTGTCTTATCATCATTAGATGTGGATACTTACTGACTGTTACAATCTTAATGTCTTCAAGGACTGTTACCACATACACAAAACTCACGTTTCACTCTAGAAACCCTGATTTATATGTGAAAGAAGAAGAGGAACAACGAGAGAAAAGCAAACCTTTATATAGCATCTCCCCTCAGCACCCTCTGACAGTTCCCACATGAGCTACTGTTCTTCCAAGGCCCTTCTGTAGTGCTTCCCCAGACAATGTAAGGGACCAGTCTGAGAAAAACAGACCTTCCTTTTTTCTCAGTGCTAAACCTTGTGGCCCCAGTAACCATCAGACTACCAAAGGCAAGCATCTGCTGCATGGGAAGGCAACTACATCTGGGACTTCTCAGAGAAATGAGGAGGAGATTGTTAATATTTTCAAAAAAATATGGCATCCTCTTACTTTTGCAGAACATGGCATCTTCGTGTCCTTGCTCCCTCTAATCCTACTGCCTGGGGGACAGTCCCCAGAGCAACTGCCCTACGCCCTCTCCATAGAGGCTACCATCCCATTTTAGTCAGGGTTAGTCTTTCCTCTGGAGATGGAAAATCCAACATCTAGAAGTAGCTACAGGTCTTCAAAAATGCTTAGGGACTGCAGAACCTGTTGCTAGTGGAGTCCATCCTTTACTATACAGAGCTCTTCAATTCACAGAGGGCTCTTAGAAAACAAATAAACACCAACCCATCTACATGAACCCGGACTGAAACAAAGAACAGAAACAAAGAACAAAGTACTGAAAATTAAAGAGTTTAAATGCTGGCAGATCAGTTCTAAACAAAAAAACAACTTCCAGGTTTTGGATGGCACCCTTAAGGCTTGGCCATTTTGAGGAAACAACGCTCCTCTTTAACTGTCTCGGCTGTGACAAATCAGTAATTCCACAAACAGATCTTACATAATGAGGGGCCTTTTTAAAGAAAAGTTTGCTTTAATTTGCTGGATTATCAGGGAGAGCTTTAACATGACTTCTTCTTTGTCCTGTTAAGTTTATCAGCCACTTTCAGGCTTCCATCTTTAGCATGAATCATACAGGGTGTGCCAATTAACCATACTTTTGCTGGAAATTATAATCCTTTGCCCAAGAGCAGTAATCCGACATATCTCTACATACTGTTACAATGCACAATACCTTTATGGAAAACTTAAGGAAGCAAATACCACAAAAATTTTCAAGATGCTATATGAACCAGGTATTTGAGAACAGGTTAGATTTGTAGAGAAAATCATGTTTGTTTTCATAAGACCAAACAAACATCTGATATCAGTGACTTCTGTGACTGGAAGCAGCAGTAAAAGTAAAGAAACTCTTTCTCAAAGTAAACTCCCAGGGCTAATGGGAATGCAAAAGCTTTAAACAGCAGATGCTGTTTAAAGGCTCTGTTCACTCAGTGAAAATTATATAGGCAAAATAACCTATACACCTAAACCACCTTGAAAAGCTTAAGAATTACATTATCACTAACATGCAAATAAAGGTGGGAAGAGAGAGTTGAGAATTGGGAAAAACAAAAAAGAAAACCTGAAAAATTTCAAAACCCCCTAAATTCTCTTTTTTGTTTTCAAAATGTATTACCTTCTGTAGCATCAAAACATGGTGATCACTGTGAAAAAAAAAAAAGGGAGGGGAGTACTAGACATTTTAACGTGACAGCATGTTAAGACAGAACTCCTCACCACTGGATCTGGAGCCAAAGGTTTAAACTGCATACTCAGTGCTGCTGAAGAGCAGTCACCCCTCACTGCACAGGCATTGCTGACACAGCTCCAAAACCTCTGCCGCACCCTTCCTCATCCTCCTTCAGAGAAGCAGAACTTAAAAAGGAAGAGGAAGCCTCAAATTCAGTTGTGTGCACTGCATATTTCTGCCAGTATCCTCAGCATTTTATTGTAACAACGTTTAAGAAAACTCTGAGGAAGGTTGTACGGATAAGAAATAGCTAACGCAAAACCACCACCACCGTACCACATTGGAAGCACTGTATGAGAGGCAACACGTAATCGCCTATGGCCAAAAAGGTGAATCAGAAAATTAACCAGCATCTTGGGAAAAAAAGTTTCTGGATCTCATACTCTGCCACAGTGTCCATGACTCACCTAGGATTTGATTGAGATACTATCTGAAAATTTTTTTTAAGTCATTGGCATTTCCATTTTAAAATAGGATTTATGAGGTTTCAAACTTCAGAAATCTCTTCTGCATTTTTTTTCTCTTTTGAATGTTCTTCCTCATTAAATTGGGATCATAAAGTAATGAGCACCTTTTCTTTGGTTAGATAGGGGTTCAAAAGAAGATTCATCAGCTTCATGTTAGATATTGTAAAGAATGAAGTCACCGAAGATCAATTAGAAGCTGTTTTAAACAACTTTTCTAAGAAATCCCTTCTCTTAAAACATTATCTGACCCTCTTGACATGTCATTTTTCATAGTAAATTCTTGAGTTCTCCAGCCCAATGTGAATTTGAAGCAGTAATACAAAATGGCAGATGTTTCTTTAAACACTGGCAAAAGACCCACAAGATGAGTAATTTTTAGACAGATGTGAGAGAGAACTCTGAAGCAGTAATTTTAAAGGTTTATTTTAAAAAGTAGGTTTATGTTTAAAAACCCCAAGAATAATGTCCATGTATTTGAAAATACAAAGCCTAAATGATCATGTTCTGAGTTTAAGGACAGTGAAACACAAGCTAGAGACTGTTCTCATTTTCACACTGTACACTCTAGTGGACACTACTTGATCTTGCTTAATAGCAACAGCTGACATGGAGCTAATCCAGACATGTCTTACCTGCAAAATCCAAGTTTTTGTAGCAAGCTCACTAATGTCACATGATCATGATGAAATGTGGAAAGGAACCATCTGATGCTGGACATACTATTTGCTTTCTCTCTACCTCAGTTGCCTCATGTACTCTGACTCTTTCCCCTTCTTATAAAACACTTCGAGATATTCTAATGGAAAACTGGAAGGACTAGATACGGTTAACGCACAATAGCTGGTTGTCAAATCTTTGTAAAAACAAGGGACAGCAGTGTCAGTTTTACCACAGGACAGATAAGCACTACACATTACCCATGTTTGACCATTCTGTATCACAAGGCTTTTTTAAAGCCTTTAATAAAACTCTTGCTACTGTTAATGCTGTGAAAACCCAGTACAACAATTTTCTTGTATGTACATTCCATGTCCAAAAGTTGCTTTCTTTTCCCATCACTTGCCTTTCATTGTCTCTTGTAAACTCTGTCAGCTTCCAGTTCGGTGAAGTATCACCTTTGTATCTGCTTGCAAGCCTTCGCTCCTAGCTTTTCTGCAGGGAGATGGAGCTGAGACTAAAAAAATCCATAGTTCCAGTTATATTATTGGGTGGCCTTTGGCTAATCACTTGGCATTCACTGACCTCTCCCATCCCAGATTCTTTCTAGAGATTGTCTGCAAAACAGAGGTGTAGATAATTTAGCCAATGTTTACACTGCTCTGAAACTGCACCTTACTATTATGTTGTGGTTGTTTGCTCACACGTCATTTGAAGTGCCCTACCATTTACCCCGGCTTCTCTTGACCACTTCCTCCCTTCTAACAACATCCCTCTCTTTGCTGTGATCTCCAAATAGTTAGTCCTCATTCTTCTTTCAGAAAATTCTTTATTAAATACATTGGTAAATGACATATTTCACAAGAATGTTCCTCAGACCTTTGGCACATGCATGCGTATGGTGCTGATTTCTATCCAGTTCCTGCTTAGACACAGTCTTTGGACACAATGTGCAGGATGCCTTCTCTGTCCTCTGGGTCTGTTTCCAGTAGGAAGTAATCAATTGATTCTTGGCAAATGTAACTGCAATCAATAAAACTGCATTATCTTACCTGAAAAATGCCTACAGCACTGAAAAGGGAAGCAATTCAGACCACGCGTCTCTCTAGCAACATCGCTTTTCTTAGCTCCCTACCTGAATATTTCAGCATGTTCCGCAGCTCTGAGGTTATGGGGTGACCAGGGAAGATAAGAAATACTAACCCCAATGGAGGTCATGCTACACAAAGCTATGGAAGAGTGGATCATCCCTGATCCATGTGAAGCCCCATTTAAACCTCTTAGCAAGTGTTACTGCACAGGCTCACTAGCACTTGTGTCATTACATTACAACTGGAGTACACTGTCAGAACTACACAGGCTGAATGTTAAAAACGTCTCCTAATCATCTTTGACAACTCAGAAGCTATTAGACAATGGAGAAGCTTAAGGGAGCCATGGCCTAAAGATTAATTTACCCTCTGAAGACCAAATACTTCCTTTCTCCTAAGGCTTGCTACTTTCTATGCAATATGCAAGTTCACAAGTTTGTAACAAGTCTTTGCAAGCCAATATGAAATCTGCAGAGACACCCTGATATGCTAAATAGATCTGGATAAGAGACTTGGGCTGCCGATTTATGGGACAAACAGCCAAAAACCTGCAGGAATCAAAACTTCAATTCTAAGAAAAACGTGTGGTTATTTGAACCACATATCCTGAGTTATATTCATAAAGGGAATGCTAAGAACTCTTGGATTAAGAGCAGAAGGCAGATGTTACTATGAAAAGGGAAATGCTATGGCAGTATTTTGCCATGCACTCCTACCTACATAGACTGATTTAGCACGGGAAACACGGAAAAACCACAAGTCTTGAAATGCCTTATCTTGGAAAGTACATTAAGCCAGCCATCGGCAGCTCTTCACAACTAAAAAACAATCAGCAGGATGCATTAAAACCCAGGAAGTGCCAAGGCCCTAACACAAGGTCAATCACAAGGTAATTGGGTAGTAAACCATACATGCAGTA